CTGATGACTGAAGACTGGCATGACAAAAACTTAAGCAAGTGCAAAGAAAAAGAAACAAACACTGAGACAACATCTATTAGTATATTATAAATAGAATTAAATTTCTCATAGTTGCAAAAACTTGTGTACTCCAAATGTAGCTATATTTAATTCTAGTCTCTAACGTCCTAGTTATCTGACGAATCTAAATTTTCTTGACCTGATCGTGGTTCCAATTAATTTGCTGGCCTACTACACGCTCACGGAAAAATAGAATGCCAAAGACAATAATGCTTAATTCTGTTTAATAGCACGAAAAGAAACAGCGCCAAATCCCTCTGATTTATGAAACAATTGTTCCTTTCAGAAAACTTTCCATTTGCTTCTACGTTAACCAAACAATTACGTCCAGAGGTAGCGAGTACGTTCTTACTAGAACATCGTAATTCACAGCCAGTATACCTCGCCCATGTAATTACTTCGCCAACGGCCCTGAATTGCCTTATACTTCTATAAAGATCCGATCGTAAGCTCTAAGTGTCTCATAGCGAGAAGATCAGATGGATCAAAGTTACCCTAGAACGACCATCCACGATTATTCACGATCATCGTTACATCGTTTGGGGTTCTATCAGGCTTCTTTCCTGATGTCTCGATAGTAGACACAAAGTCACCCTACTGTTCGAAGGAACATTTTCGGACGAGTAAGACCCAGCTAGCTTTAACGAAAATAAGTAAATAGTTGAAAGATTGATATGTCGACAATCTCGAAAATCAATTAGAACACTAATAATTCTCAACACACTTATTTGCCTCAATAGAAGACATTATGCGCAGCCACCATATACTGCTGCATGAAGGCACTATCTTATCTACTTTCCATCTCTACACATTTCGTCGCGAGGGGTCTTCAACCCTGGGCATAACGATGAAAGTCGACAAAAAGTCGGGGCGAAGACGGTGCGTGAATGTACCTACGTACGATAGAGCCCCGTTTAATGTTATCCTGGACTTGGTTGTTAGCGATGGTCGCTATGCAGGCCGCGGAGACGCGCATTTACGTCGCAATGGAAATCTAAGAAAGTCGTGAGTTCATTCAAAGCTCCGCTGTTTTTTCCTCTTTCCTTGCTCCGAAGAAGTCCGCGAACCGTGAGATGCATTCAGCGTATCCCGCGGGGACTTTCCCTAGCTAATGCGAGATGAAATTACAGCCCCCTGGGGTTCCGGTCGACAGTTACGCCGTCTACTCGAAAGACACTGGGCCGGCCCCTCCATCTCTAGCAGCTTCTCTTTCAACTCCACCTTTGCTTTCTTCGTCCTCGTGGTCCACCATCCTTTCGAATGCTTGTACACACAAGAAGGCATTCGTTTCAACTCGTTTGGTCGCTGCTCTGAGCGAACGTTTACCCTTACGAAAAAAAGCTACCCTTAATCTTCAGCGGTAGCCGGTCTTCGTTTCCGAACGGAGTTTCAAAGAGGAGTCTTCTAGTTATAGGAGGAGAAATATTCCTCCGCTTTTAATGAGATAACTTTTACTTTCACGATCAAAGGTTGATAGTGCATGAAACCATCCCTGGAACTACAAGACCGCACTTGTTCATCAAGATGGAAGGAGTCGCATTGACGAGTCTCGTCGATTCGTACCTCCTTGCTTATTTTCGGATATAATGTCGTGTTTCTGTCGGCCATATTTCGCGATCGATCATCAAGGGTGCGTCCCTTTCCTTTTGGACAATGTAACCCAGGAATGGAGCGAAAAAGTTTCATTCGGATGTGATGAACGGAGGAATCAATTATCGATGAGAGTTTCATGAGATACGAGTAGATGAAGAACCGATTAGTAGAATAATTTGTGCCTTATACGTATGTCGAGGATGCAAGATAGAAAATCTAACGTTCGACATTTTTACTTGACTCTTTTAAAAAAATGTCAATAGCATTCTACGAGTTTGTAATTGTTAGCAAAGCAAACGGATTATTAATGCCGTGAAGAATATGGACTTATCGCTCGTTTATGTAGCTCTATATTTGGGAGAATAAGAAAAGGTTTAGCTACTATTCAACGTCACTTACATTTATTCGCGTAAAAAATATGTCTTGCAAAAAACAATTAAATGGAATTAGTGGTACGTTAAGTAGAAAAATAAGTTACTCGAGCGCAGGTAGTTAACGATCTTCAGAAATTCGCTCGCTAACAATAGTAGAATAGCAGTAGAGAATAAATTAGAAACATCAAAGAACCTACGTACAATTTTTGCACGTGCCGACATTCAAACAATGTTTGTCGAATGAAAATACGCAACGTGACGTGAACAGCCGGCGTAATTTACAAAGACATGGTTACCTCCAATTAAAATCCAGCTGTTCGTAGCAAAAGGTAAACGTATAACGACAATAGCTTTTCCGCGTCTAGCTTCCGTGAAGCTGACAATGTTTGATATTATAGCTGATAGCGTGCCTTTGGTCTTCGTAAAACGTTAGTTGTTAGTTTGAAATAGCACCAAAGCATTAATGATGGCGTAAATTATAACGTAATTTGAAGGAGGGTGATTCTACGCGAAGAAATATACCATGACCATGGAACAATATTTTCTATACATAAAAGTCTGTTTTTGTACAAACTAACGTGAAAAGTTTATTCAGCATTTCGATACATGCATGCATATGATATGAATTAATTTTGAAAAAGTCAGAAATAATCCTTAATCATGTATGTAACATAGACATTAATTCTAATACAAATTTTCGATAAACTGTCAGCATCGATTCAGTTGGAAACGAAGTATCGTATGGGACAAAATTGTAGTGCAATTTCTACTATTCCTAGACGTGATTTATTCCGAAAATATATAGCAATTCGTTTACAGTTAATCATAGCAACACTCTAATAAAGCAACGAAGTTATCATCCCCTATCAAGGAGATGATAATTCTGAATTTCGGTACTGTTAAGTTCCTATAATTACCACAATATTGGTGATTATAACTGCCTCGAATCATCACGAATTTCGACACTGGTTTCACTACTACCGCATCAGCTGTGAAGGAAGTTCTTGGCGTACACTCGAGTACCCTCTCTTGCGATCTAGCTTCTCACAGCGGACTCATCTATCAAAACAATTAAGTTCCCGAGGCCGGTTTGGCGTTTCTCGATCTCTGTATTAACGCGTGTCATTTTCCTGGCTACGACAGAGCAAAGCCTCGATTATTACTGAACCTGATAGCAGGTACGTTGCTAATACGCGCGTCGAGGAGTTTCAAGCAGCGTCGGCAGTAAAGAGAGTTGCCACGGTGCCCTACACGTTCGCTTCAGTTAAGTCACTCTGTAAAGTTTGCGAGAGAGGAAAGCCAAGGCCCGTTAATGTGTCGTAAATCGTTGCTCTCGCTCCGTGCACAAGTCAACCACAGAGATTACACTCGGCCAAGGCAGTCAAAAGTGACTCTCTGCAGCTTAGTCAAGTATCCGGTCTTAACAATGTACAGGCTGAGCGTGGATTCTCCTAGTCTCGAGTATCCCGGTACCGGTAGAAAGCTAGCCAGCTTTAGCTCGTTTACGTGGCAACGAGTCCCGACAGAAGGAGGCACACCGTAGAAATCGTCGAAAAAGCAGGGCCCCGAATCAAATGAGTTTACACAGCGACGACAACGGAGTTTCGCGAGTGTAATCAAGCTGGGATAGAGACGCGGGAAAAGGCAATTGCCGCACGGATAAGGGATAACCTTCTTCTCTGCGATTTGAATTTCCGCCCAAAGGCAAACGAGCCAACACCCAGCGCGGTCCGGGGGATCGTCCGTCGAACGTCGATAAGAGAAGACGCGATAAATGCCGACGCAATAGCTTCTTAATTACAGAGAGACTCGTTAGAGATTGTCTGGTGGATAGGATATTTCGCTCTCGAGAAGGAGAGGAAACGAATGAGGGTGCACGGAGAGACCAGCTTGCACGATATCGAGCTACGACAAAGAGCACCGTAACGCGTAGAAATCGTTCCAAAGAGAAATGAAATCGATTTGCATTTCCAAAGAACTCTGATTGTACGGAGTGAGGATACACGCGAGAATTTCCTTTGTCAATTTCGAAGTCATTACTCGGTCGTTGCAGCTACTCATATGAAATCATCGAACAATTTGACGTTGCGGGTATAGCAGTAATTTACATCATATATCAACCGTATGTTGCACCGAACAGTGAACCGTCTGAGGTAAAAGATGAAGAACAATCGCGGACAAAGCAGTCTGCACTCGCATATTACCACGACCAGTGTAAATTTGTACACCAATACCTGGAATCCCTTGGTCTGGTATCTTCGTGCAATTCTCACGCGGAATATAGTCACTGGAGGGTTCGCTAGCCAACGGTGCAAACGAATGGATTCCTTTCTAAATTTCGCTTTGAAATCTATATCACGCCAATGCAGATTTGCGTAGAAAGCAGGTCCACGCGTTTCCCATAAAGGACAATTTCAGTGAATCAGTTGGAACTACAATGAAGTCACAAAGTCGTTGCCACTGAACAGTATTCCTTGTAACTCCTATGTACGCTCGGTTTGAGAAAGAAAATATTTCTTTGCGCGGTCGAGTTTTGCGAGCCCGTGCATTCCTTTGTCTCCACTTCGCGCTTCCGGCATAACGATGAAAAAAGGATTGCCGCGACAGCGCAAGCAAACAGTGGCAATTCGTCGCAAGACATACTTTTCCGCTACTTTTTTCTTCCATTACTTGTCATTGTGCGTTTTTTCGAACCACCAGCTGACCGAGGAACGCACGTAAGAAATGTGGCGCCCTGGCTTGTTGGCGACATGCCGGACAATGTGGTAAGAAAAAAGTTAGTAACGGTACCGTGCACACGACGATGTTTCATCCGGCAGGGGGCCGGTGATCCTGTCGTTTTGTCACATTACACGCGATTACTCACGTCCCACGCGTCAACACACACTCGCAAACGCATCATAATCCATGTACTCCGTTTCTTCGCTCCAGCCAATTACGAACGATTGTCGATCGTAGCTCGCGACAGCTTACCTGATATCACGAGGAAAGCGAACGCTGCTTTTAGCCACAGGTGGCGAGTCATCTCGAATTCGCGAAATCGTTGTCCTTTCTCTTGATCACTGGTCTTTTGTTCACACAACAGCACACCACTCGCGATCGCGTTATGCGCTAATTAGGAAAACATAGAAAGCATAGGGATGTTTGAGAACGCATCGATGTACAGGAAACTGAATCTCACCGGTTTCACCAGATAGTCATGGTACACGAACAGGCGGTGAACGCCACCCTTTGCCGAACGAATCGTCACTACACGTTGCCTTCGAACGAAACGTCAAACTCACCGTGCGCAGCGTGCGATAGCGACTGATCGCGAGACTACGCTGGCAGACGTCGGCGGCAGTGGCGACAGCGGCGATTCGAATCGCCGTGAGCTGCAAGACGGAGGGACGTTTAATTTTTCTTTCACGTGGTCGCGAAACGCGATCTTCTTCGCGGCGTGTAACGCGCGAACGGAAGAACGATCAATGCCGTATCGGTGGGCAAATGTTATCGATCACCGTGTGCAGAGCAACGCTACGAACACCAGAAGAGATTTTAAGCACTGTTGACAGGGTAATTGCACGTATATCTGCACTGGATTGCGACAGACGAGACTGAGCGTCGCCGCGCGAAGCTGTTCCGCCGCGAGCCGCGCGTGCGCAGACCGCCCTTCCATCCCCACCATTACGCTCCGACCAAACCATCCAAAAGATCGTGCCACTCTTTCGCTCCCTATCATCTCTCACTCGCACCCGTTCTACTCGACCATCGCCACTCGCCCCCGCTTCACGCACACGATCAACGGGTCGAGCCGTGATCTTATTCCACACCTCCTTTCGGGGTGAGACGGACGCGAACAGAGAGGGAGAAAGAGAGTCCAAGCCCTCTGGATTCAATTTGCCGACCGAAACTTTTTGTTGAATAAGGTTTGTTACGTATCATCATTCAGTCGCATTAGGACCATTGTCGAGCCACGGCCTCTTCCTCTTCCTCATGCCCGACCTTATATATTTCCAGTGTCTGCACGTCTCCGACGGCCAGCCAAGTTGAATAGTACGCGGTGGACCACAAACATACTAGGTACGCTGCGATATCTCTCTGACGCGTATCACGCTCTTGTCCGTCTCGCATCGCTCGACCTGTCCGCAGGCGCCAGGGTGTCGAACTGTGTAACAACATATGCTGATCTCTCGCTCGAAGGCACATCGACAACGCGATTCCGGAGTCTAGTGGAAGTTGGAGAGGAGGATATGGACATCGACTACGACAGTTAGGAAATCTAAGTGCTCGATGAGTAACGGATTCACGGCTCCCTGTATCCCGTCCGTTCAGCGATTACGTTTATGCACGATTTACGACTCCATGAAATTTATGACCAAATAAACTAACCGTGCAGGATTTTCGCGACAACCTAGACGCCCAGCTTAAAATCCCGTTGAGCGGGTTTCAGATTTTTCAGAGGACGTCGTTAAAGAGAAATCTGACTCGGTCTTTAATCAGCTCTGTGTTATGATATCACGCGGTGATGCGGTACTCGGTTTGTACAGTTCAAGCTATAGTTATTTTGCATTAAAATGGAAATAAAAGTGAAACAAGTTAAGACGATGAATTGTGTCCTCGGAATAGTTTCATTGAATATTATAAATACAAAAGTATATTGATTTTTATATTTTAATATACATGAAAAGTTTTATTATTTTTCGATCCTTTTAACGCTAACGTTTCGTGTTGTACTATGTATTTTTATGCGATATGAAAGATGAATGTATCTTCTTAATTACAGTTAGAAATTATTCAACACCTGTGTCTTCAACACCCGTATATTTCGCACATATCGCCTGATGAAATAATTTTTTATGAAAGACATACATTTGAAGCGACACAAAATGTAGCGTTAATAAAAAATTCATAGATAGCTACTGAAAGGAAATAAAAGGTAGAAAATGTATGCGTTCAATACTTTTTGTTATTTTCAATAGGCCAGTGTAGAGTTATAAATACAAATACGTATCAGATATGTGGAATTATACGACCGAAATATTTGCGCGATATAGAACATTTCTCTTTCAATAAATCATGTGCATCAAATTTTAAAATATCTGATATTTGTTTTAAAAACTGTCCATTTTAAGAAATAAACTCTCGTCTCACAAACGACCTACACTTATTTCCAGCAGCTCTCAAATTTTCACAAAACAATTTGCCGTTTAAATACGCACACATTCATTAGGAATATCGCAAAAAAGATCAGCAAGCGCAGCTTTTACGAGGGCACATCCGCGATCCCAATTTATCTTTTCCTGGCCCGTTCTTTCGCTTAGCCTTTGTCGCCTTTCTTTCTTTCTCCTTCCGCCTCTTCCTTTTTCGTGTCTCGTGAATCTTGACCCCGGAAGTGCCTCGAAGGAAACCCCCGCACCCACCTCCCCCTCTCCGTCGTCAACCTTTCCCTCTCTGGTAGACGAGGGGCGGGTAAAACGCAGCAAGACCCCGCTGAAATATTACGGAGACATCATTCGTTACCACTACGTCGTTTATCCGTATCGGCGTTCCACCTCGAACGTATAAAATTGCCCTCCAAACTCATACACGACGGTTCAAGTTAGACTTGCGACTGCGAACCACTGCCAGGGTTCCAGGGGATCGCGCTTTAATAGAACAACAGGGACCGAAAGGGCGAGAACAGCCTTTCGTTTTTTCACGAAAAATACGGTCATGGGAGCATTAGTTCCAGGACAGGAAGCAAGTATGTCTGAATTATTGTATGTTCTTTGTTCCTTCCTCTCACGTGCTGCATCTTCGCATATGTGCGAAGTACCTGGTTGAAATGCGGGTCTGTTTGATCATTGCGTAGCAATTGAGGCTCTTTCCATCTTCTGGATATTATCAATAAGTAAATTTCAATTTGAATTCAATAACCAAATTTGTCCAAATGTATGGAGTAAAATATGATGCAAAAAGGAAAAGTTTGATCTCGAAGAATAATGATCAAGGGCAATTTTGCATCGAAATTCCTAAACGAATCTTTACCGATCCAAAGGTTGAGAATTTGGCTGTAATAGTTTTAAATATAGGATGCCAGAATTGTTGTTATTGACTGAATATATCGTATCCACAAATAATATGAATCGCGCGACAAAGCAGGGTAATGAGATTCAGTGAGGCTGGTTGAGGTAGTCATTAGGATCAAGAACGAAGTGCTGGTATAAGTATGACATAAAATAATCGTGACAACGTAATTCATTCTACCGTGATATTATGTCACTAAACACGTATGCTGTCAAGGACCTAAAAATATGGATTTCCTGTGCATCAAAGGTGAAGTCAAGTAGCGTGAAAAAGAAACACCTCACTCACCCCTGTGCTTGTCATGTGACTTCTCCCCAGCTCTTCATTATACATTCACATGGAGCACTTGTGTTTGCCAGTTGGTCCAGCAACCTTGAGAAAAATGTGCACACTATTCTATGGCGCCGTGTAAAGTCTCAAAAGCGTGTAACTTATGTGGAGACATAGAAGCGCAGGCGCGATCCGTCGAGGAGTATGGAGAGTCGGGTCATGGAGCAAAAAGAGAGAGAGATATGTAAAAAGTCCCATGGCGGATCGTCTCGCCGGAACCATTGAACCACGCACCGTTACGCACTTCAGCAGCTGTCCAATTTTTCTTTTTCTACCCTTCATCCTTCTTCGTATTTTTGGTCTACTCTCAGATGGATCAGTGTAGGCCATTATGTATTCATCCGTATGTTTGTTAGATATACATACGTCATGCTTTGATGGAAATTACAATATGTCGTATCTAACGAGGTTGAAGGAAGCAACGAGATTAATGTGCACACTGAACGTTGAAAGGAAGGTATTCAAGAAGTTAAAAGTGTGGTAATTATTTTTGTTAGAAACAGTTGTAGTGCTAGTCTGTGTATGGAAGTATTTGATGATATAAAAATGAATTACGGTCTCTGGAAAAGAGACTTATTTATTGCAGATTCTTATGACAAAGTGCGAATGTAATAAGTTACTGGTAATAAAAATTTAAGACTATTTGCCAAACTTCTTATATTTACTTTGATAAAAAGAGAATTTGATTATAAGAGAAATTGCAAATTCGATGGAAACTTATGCTTAGTATTTGTAGTATATATCTTGATAGTAAACAAGACAAGATACTGTCTATTAACATCGTATAATTATTATTAGTGAATTACAAATTATTCAATAATGTAATTATTGTCCAAGACCATTGGTGAATTTAATTAATCAACAAAATAAAGTAATTATATGTCTCATATTTAAATATATCATATTGTATTTTCATTAATAATCGACAACACAAAAATATATTTTCAATTGTATCCGGTAATGAATGCGACCGGTCCAGTAAGTAATAAATTCATAATGCTACTAAAAGAGATATAATTATATTATTACACGAACAGAGATAATGATGGCTTTGCCATGTTTTTCATTAAATTTCAATATTTTCTCTTCCTCTGCGGACAAGTTAACATATCCTATATTTAACTTTTTAATCCTTATTTCACAATATATTTTATGATATGAAAGAAAACATATTAGTCAATTTATCAATATTTATTTAGACCATCGATATTATGTATGTTTTATCTTCAATATAAAATGAGACTATAGTAAAGAACAAACTATAAAAATATGATAACGCATATGGAGAAATGTTCTTCTCCTAAAGAGCCCTTCAATTAATTCAGTCATTGCTTCAATCATTCAGTTATCATATACCGTATATCATATATTTTGCTGTTAACATAATATATGTATTAACATTCATAAGTATATATATTAGCACATTTCTAACAATCTTGTAAATCATTAAAAAACGTAATAAATAAAGAAAAGATACACAAGGTATCAAAAATACGTCATAATATGAAAACATATCCAATGGATATATAACAATTGATCATTTATTTCCCATTGTTTAATTCAGAAATATCAATGAACAACAGTATCAATAGACATTTTTTCCGTATCAAGCGATCTCTATTATTTTTGTTTCTACGCATTCCCAGTCTCCTGTCGATCGTGAATTAAAAGCAATAACAAACCATGTTCATGTACTGAATATTATTGAAAATATTGATGCAAAAATGTCAGCTAATTCATACACCTGTTCTGCTATAGAATTCATCGTGCAATCGATAGTATGGGATCATTAAAAATAGTACCCCATTGTACCTTTTCAAATTCTGACTTTTCAGGTTTGCGAATTCAAACTTTCTCTTCATTGTTGCTCTTGTCAAATAACAACTGCTATGCCATACGTTTATTATACAATTTGTATATTTTTTCTACTTCCAATTATCAACACGGGTGAAACATTTCAGGGAAAATCATGTGTACGCATCTGCTCGGATATATTTCCTCTTAACACTTTGCTGACTGCACAGGAAGAAGATAAACACTCGCAGCTTCCTCTGCTTGACACGGTGCGCCGACGTAGAGCCGGATATTTAAAACGAAGGGAATAAAGAGGCGCCAATTGTTACGTAACCGTGACACTTTGGAGAGGGGCTTATTTCTTTTTTATTCTTAGCCTTTGACAGGGTAAGACGTCTAGCAAG